TCCACTGGACCACTGTCTTTCACAGAGGGGCTCCTTCCGTTGCATTGTCATCTGCGTGGCCTTGGGCATTCTGTGCCGCCGTGATTAGAAGAGCCCGGCCAACTCGTCCATCGGGAAACATGCTATCACGTTGCATATTCAGGGACTTCACTTAGAGTCTTTCCAAGCAGGCTCGGTCTTGGTATTTGTTTCCAAAGGGCTGGTGTGTGCTTTGGATTTCCTGACTCCGGATCCTTCCCAGAGCCTTCTCCACAGGCAGTCCTTGTGTATGTTTGTTCTTCAGTACTGAGAGGGCCGTATTTTGGGGCTTTCCAGCATGGAGAGAACTGACTCACTTCCTATACGTTGGAGCTGGCACATTCGGGGGGTATAGACAGAGACGGCATTTTTCATTTATGAGGGGATATATGCTATTAGTGGGGTACTTCTTTCCAGGATGCGTCAGGGGGAGCCTTTCATGAGAGACTTTTTGGCATTGGGGAGTTGATAAACAGTATTAATGACCTGTCCGGTTTCCAAGGTTCCTGGTCGCTCGTGCCTTAGTAATAACTTGAGGCCTTTTTATTCATCACTTATAGGCTGTGATTAAATGGGGGTGAGGCTTTTTAATGAAACATAATTTTTAAAGCCCCTTCTCTGCACCAGGCACTGCTTGGGGGTTGGAGAAACAGGCAAAAGATGAAAGGTGGCCCCCCCCCCCCCCCCCCCCCCCCCCCCCCCCCCCCCCGTCCTCAAGGAATGCATAGTCTGCTGTGGGAGAGAGGGGTGTGGCTTATACACAGACAGGTTATGGGATCATTAGGAGACAGCTGGGGGACCCCCAGGGGAAGCCTAGGGATTCTGAGAGGCCGAGCAGAGGCTGGACGAGCGCTTAGTGGTTGTCTTACAGAGGCGATGCCTTTCAGAACGAGTTGGCCATTGGGGTTTCTTCCAGCTCTCAAGTTCTTTGATTCTCTGGACGTGACCTTGGGCGGATCACTCCGTCTCAGTGTTTTCATCTCTCCACGGAGAAAGTTGGAGTAGATGACCACCGTCAAGGTCCTTTCCACCTCTTAAACTGAGTAATTATGAGATCATTCAAAAAGTGCTGGGAGTGATCAGAAGCTCAGCCGAGTTGGTGCTGGGGACCAGAGAGCGGAGCCCTGGATGGTAGCTGGATCTGGGTGTGAGCACCAGCAAGCCTTGCGGAATGTGGGATGAACTTCCCCATTCTTCCACATGCCAGAGAGAGGAGAGAATCTCACCACTGGGATCGTAGGCCTAGCTGAGGTGTGTACGTGGAATGGTCGTGGTTTGTAAAATGCCTTGCTAATTCATTCAAATCTCACAAAAGCTCTGTGGAGGTAGATTCTGCAAGGGAGTATTATCCCCATTTTACACATGGGGAAACTGAGGCAAAGAACTCAGATCTGAGAGGCAACATGGCTGTTGGAAAGGGCAGTGGCTATAGGGCTCGTCAGCAAGCATTTATTAAGTGCCGACTGTGTGCCAAGAACTGTGTTTAGGGATAAGGATACAAAGACAAAAGATAACAGGTCCTGCTCTCAGGGAGCTTGCATTCTAAGGGGGCGGAAGACACGTATGCCTGTGGGTATGTGGAGAGTACCTAACGACAGCTGGCAGGGGGAGGCACGGAAGGTTTCATGAGCAAGGAAGTGCTTGTGGGTAGTGCCCACGCTGGATGGGCAGGAGATGGAGCCTTCGTCTGGCGTGTGGAGTGTGGCTGGAGCACGGCGTGTGAGGAAGAAGTGGGGGCCATTGGGGTTTGTGGGAGGTGGAGGGAGAGAAGGGAAATTGCAGGTGTGCAATTGAGGACTGAGGTTCTGACTTCTTTGTGACCTTTCGTATCATGGACACTTTCTGGGCCTCAGTTTCCTCATCTGTAAAAGGAAAGGGTTAGTCTAGATGGCCTTCCAGCTCCAACAGTCTACTCTTCCTGACTCCAGTGGGTCAGTCCATGATGGCTGAATCCTTCAGCCCTGCTTGACCACGAATCCATTGAGCTCTGTGTCTAGACAGTTCATCAAGGCCTGGGAATGACTAAATCTAAACATCCTGCCCCAGGAGATGGGTGGGAGGGAACAGGACAGATCTCTGTGCCAAGAGCAGTGTGTGTTGTCCAACCAGGGGGTTGCGGGCGAGGACGTTAGCACAAGGTGTCTTATGTATGAGTCTTCTTTGAGCGTGTCTGTCTACCTTACACAAACCCTGCCTTCTTCTTTGCTTGTTAAATGAAGCCCTTTGCTTGACTGGGGTTGGGGGGGAGAGAGCCTTCTGAACATTTTAATGAGAGGCTTGAAAAAAAATAAGGCTGGAATGGGGGGGAGGCATCTCAAGCTCCCCTTTATTTTTTAAGGTCTTTTGAAGTTCCTTCACACAAGTTACTTTAATCAGAGCCCCTACCTACCCCAAGAATGCAAAGAGGTTTAAAAAAAATAAGCCTTCCACTGGGAAAGTATATTTTTTTCCCCTTTTGTTCCTAATCGGTAATTACACCCCCATAATGGCCCCTCTGGTGCAGATTCAGAAGTAATAGCCAGAGAAGGAGAAATTAGTTGGGCATACAGCAGTCACAGCAGTAGCGAGCTTATCTGCACAATGACCCGGGGGCTAATGCAGGGGTCCCTGGAAGAGCGGATGCATTCATAGAGCCGAGACTCACACAGCCCCTTGTATGCTCTTCCATTAAGTCATTAAAGCCGGGAATGTGCTGGTCTTAACCCTTTCTCCAGGGCTGGAAGGGGAAGATTTTCATCCTGGCAGCTCTGAAGACTCTCAGTCAAAGGAAAATGAAAAAGATTTGCCCTTTTCTTGCTGCTTCTGAGGTCATTGAGGGTCATAGCTGGAGAGCTGGAAGGGCCCTTCTGGGGGAATCATCAAGGTTTACTGCATCATTTTTGCCAGTGAGGAAACTGAGGCCCAGAAAAGCGACTTGCCCCAAGTCATAACTGTCAGAGCCGAGATTCAGATCTATGTCCTTTCATTCCAAATCCTGATTCATAGAATCACGGAATTTTGGAAGAGACCTCAGAAATCTCCTCATTCAACCTTTGCCAAGTCACTTAACTACCATGAGCCTGAGTTTCCTCCTTTATGGAATGAGGGAGACAGCCTAGATGTCCCTCTAAGGTCCTTTCCATTCTGAAGCTATGACCCTGCCACATGAACCACTCTGCTGTCATCCTCTTTGATTTAAAGACCCCCATGGAGGGGGATCCCACAGCTTCCTTGTTGTTATTCAGTCATGGCCGACTCTTTGTGACTCCATTGGGGGTTTTCTCAGCAGAGATATTGGAGTGGTTTGCCATTTCCTTCTCCAGTTCATTTTACAGATGAGGAAACTAAGGCAAACAGGGTGAAGTGACTCACCCAGGGTCAGTCACACAGCTCCTAAGTGTCTGAGGCCAGATTGGAACTCAGGAAGATGAGTCTTCCTAAAGCCGGGCCAGGCGCTCTATGCACTATGGCGCCCCCTAGCACCCATGGCTTCCAGAGGCAGCCCATTACACCTTGGACAGTTCTGAGTGTGTTGGCTGGGTGTTCTCCAAAGCAGCCTTCAGTCGTGGCCCCCCTGTCTCTCCTCTGAGTTCGAAGCTGAACCAGGTGACGGGATCGTCCGTCGAGGCTGGCAGGGACCCTGGAAGTCTTCTCCTGCAGCCCCTTCATTTTAAAGATGTGGAAACGGAGGCTCAGAGTTTAGTTGAGTCCAGGGTCACCCAGCCAGTGAGTCTCCGAAGGGATTTTGGGGTCCAGGTCCTCTGATTCTGACATTCCTGCCCTTCATAAAGGAAGGCTCCGCTGTTCCAGGGCCCCTTAGCGTTAGTTCTGGTACCTTGAGCAAGGGCTTCGTTCTTTTCAGATGGAAAATGATGGGGATTGTGCTATGGCTAGATCTAAATCATGACCCTGGATCTTAAGCTTGTCTGCTCTCTGATTTAGGCAGCTGGGTGGTTCAGTGGATAGAGTGGTAGGCTTGGAGTCAGGAAGACCTGAGTTCAAATCCTGTAGCTGTGTGACCCTGGGCAAGTCACTTAATCTCTTTTGCCTCAATTTTTTCAACTTAAAATGGGAATATAGCAGTTGTCCTTATGAAGATGAAATGAGATCCTGTTTGTAAAGCGCTAGGTACTATAGAAATGCTGCTTCCTCCCCTCCCTCCCCCGTGGTGGTGTTTTTAGTAAGGATTATTGGATTTGGGAAATCAATCCACAAGCATTTATTAAGACTTCATCCTTGCCCTAGGCATTTGGTTAAGCCTTGGAGGTCCAAAGATAAGAGTCTGTCCTCAGGGAACTTACGTTGGAAGGGGGAAGTTGTGTACCAGATAAAATCCCTGTACCTGTGGAGGAGAGATGTATTACGAGTTAGCCTTAGAGGGGAAGGCTCTAGCCTGAGGGGACTAGGCAACATCTGGTTGTCAAGACTTATCCCTTCTTTTTATAGGTGAGAAAACTGTTGCCCGGTGAGCAGGAAGGGTCACACAGGTAGAAAGAGCAGAGCCAGGATGGGAGGCCGGGCCCTCTGCCTTCCAGGCCAGGGTCTTCAGCACACACCCTTGGACTCCAGAGTCCTGGGGAAGATCATAGTTAAATTAGGTAGATCCCGTGAAAATCGGATTTCCAGAAACTGAGGCTTGTGTGTTTTGGGGGTGTCTTTTTTTAGCCTGCAAATGGAAAATTGCTTCTATAGAAAGATTGCCTCATCGTTTTGTGTGACAGTAAGAGGGACTGGTCTCTGGAATTTTACAAAAGTCTCCCCAGCTCCCTCTCTCTGCCCCATTGCACTGAGTAGGTGCCTGTGGGATATCAGATGTTACCCATCCCTCAGTCAGGGGAGTGGGGCTGTTCTTGGCGAATGTAAGAGTGAATGGCGTGTTGATGGGGCTGTGAAAGGGGGAGCTCGATTTCGTCTCGGGCCTTTCTCCCTCACCCACCGCCCCTCCACCCTATGGACCCCACCAGTCACTACTTTTATCATTCTGTCTCTTGAATCTCAAACAGATACCTGAAGAGGTGGCTGACATTTTCAACGCCCCCAGTGATGAGGAAGATTTTTTTGGGTTTGGAGATGATGTTCCGATGGAAACACTGTACCTGGAAGAGAGCTTTGACTCCCCAGAGCCAGGGAAAAAGGTAAGGAGCGTGCATCTCTGTCTGCGGCTTGGTTTACAAGTCACCTTGATTTCAGGGGCTGCTGCAGCTTAGGTGGAGGCTGCTAATTAATTAATTAATCGGCGGTTGTGGTCCTTGGTGCTTGAAGAGAACGGAGGAGGCCTCCCTACAGTGGGGTCAAGGTGCAGTGTGTCTGGCTGGCTGATCAGACCAGTGTGAGCTTGGAAGGTTCTACCACAAGTCGGGCACAGCCAGGCCATGGGGGACGTTTGGACTGGAAATGCCTTGAACTTTGTGGACCTCATGTTTCTGTGGAGCTGTTGCTTTATTGTAGAGTGAAAGGAAATGTGTTTGAATGAGCACACAAGACAGCCTTTCCTGGAGGTTTTGCTATTTGAATCCTTTTTTTTTGGGGGGGGGGTTCTTGATAAACTCTGCACCTCTCAGAGAATGACCTTACAGGATAAAGTCCATTCTCATTACTGCCTTAAGAGCTTGAACCTGCCTTGAGCTGTGATTTAGGTCCGGGAATCCCACATGGTCAAAGGAAAGGGCCCAGCCCTCCGTGGTGATTGCAGCCCAGCAGCTGTGCTGAGGCCCAGGTGAGCCAAGGAGGAGTTAGAGTGAGAGGAACGTATCTCTGGACGTGGTGACTCCTTTGAAGACTCATCTGTAGAACACAAGGGGAGGCCCCTGGAGGGTCAGAGCCCAATGTGGCTTCAGGGACGGTATTCTTTCCTCAGAGTTTGCTGTTGGGATAGCATAAGACTGTTTTCTCTTTCTTATTCCCCACCCTCTGCTGTAAATTAACACTTTCCTAGGCCTACCTGGATGGGATTATTAGTTACAGGTAAGCGGCATTGGCTGCCTGGTTTCTCTGAATTCTGTGTGTTAGAGAGAGGCCACTTGGGATAGCTGGTCCAAGGGCTAAACTTGGGAGTGCTGGCCTCCGGTCCTGCCCCTGGTACCAGTCAGTCTTTCTGGCTCCACAGCCTTGCCCACGGTGGGCACTTAATACGTCTTCACTGAACTGACTTTTTACATCTTACTTTCACTGTCTATAAAATGGCAGTAATAGCTCCTGTGGTACCCATCTCCCAAGGTAAGGCTCATCAAAGTGGAGGATCTTTCTAAAGTATATTAATGTTGTTTTCTGCCTTATTAAGCAGAATATCCTGCTACATGGGATCAGTCTTTATTTCCCGAGGATCCTGTCGGGCCTGCCATCATTTTAACCCTTGGTTCTAATTGGACATATTTCTGTTTCTATGGGATCATCTATTGGGGAAGTATTAGAACGTGTCTTGAACATGTCCTTCCCCTTTGCCCCAGGGTCACCCAGCTTTGGGGTACACTTGGAATCACATCAGGAAACAACGTTAATAGCTGCCTAAGTGGTAGCATCCCGGCTTCAGCGTTGAAAGGGTGATAGAAGACAGCCTGTCTGTTGTGTATTTGCCTTGAGTGACAGCTCCCCACCTTATGTGGAACAGTGGGGATTTTTCCTGGCAGCCTGCTGGGCCTGTCCTAATCCCAGACAGATGGTATTTCAGCAGGAGTGCCCCTCCCTAAGTCCTGGCCTGCCTCGTAGTCTTTCCTCAGCCCCCTTTGAGGCGCAGAGTGGAAGGCTTGGGACGTTGCCTGTGGCCAGCCTCCTGTTTGCCTTCGGCTACTGTGGTTCCTTGTGTAGAGTTTTGCTTGAGAGTTCCTTTTAGGGAATAATAACAATCTCTTTGCCAGGCCCTTCTGCAGAGCCTCAAACGGCTTTTATGTACGACGTGCCTAATATAACATTTGGCTTGAAAAAAAAAAGTCACTTATGCCCCATAAATTCAAGTTCCTCATTTCAGGGCCAGATCTTGACAGGTGAGTAAATGACTTTCTTGTGAATTGAGTTGCTCTGGAAAATACACCAACTGTTTCATGCCAGCTTGACGGGAACAGTAGTTAAATACGTTTTTGGACTAACCTCACCATTCATTGAGATGTCCAAGAAACCTTCCTCAAACACCAGCTTTGTCTAAGGCTTTGGGGGGAGGGCAGCAGGGAGTACTAAGGTTCGTGGGCCAAGGCCCCCATGCCCTTCAAGAGATTCACTTGGATGAGGGCCGCCATCTTGCCTTGGGTCATGACCTTGGGGAAGTTGCTTCCCATCTCTTATTCTCCTCATCCGTGAAAGGAGAGGGTTGTGTGAGATGGTTGTCCCCAACCCTCTATGTGGTGTGTTGAAGCAGAGTACGAGTTTTTGGGAGATGAATCAGTCAGTAAATAGTTATTGAATGCCAACCATGGGCCAGGCACTGAAGATCCAGAGATAGAAAGTCTTCCTTCAGGAAGCCTCCATCCTACTGGGGAGACAACGTGTACTTAGATAAGGGTGTACAAAACACATTCTGATATCAGCCCTTTCCTCCAGGTTATAATTTGAGAGATTTGCTTAAGTCACTGAGAGGGTCACCCAGCTAGCACGTGTCAGGGGCAGGATTTGAACCCAGGTCTCCCGGGCTCTGAGGCCAGCTCTCCATTACACTGTGCTGCCTCCCACAAAATAAATGGGGGGTCTGGGGCAGGCCAAGCCAACAGCTGTTTGGTTCCTCATTGACAATGGCTGGTTAATTGCCCATCTCCTGGGGCGCCCTCAGCACTTGGGACACTTCCTTGTCTTCCTGATTCTTCTCATTTGCGTAATCTTACATCGTTAGCATGCCTGCCGGTGTCTTGCTTCTTCAGCTGGGTCATAAGCCCTTTGAGGACGGGCAGGAACAGTACTTCACTCCTCACGTGACCCGAGGTGGACAGTCGGGCAGGATGTGGACCTGTCGTTGGGGAGTGACCGCTTCTGTCCAGATCACTCCCTTATACTGCTTGTGTTGGCTTCCAAACGAGTTGTGATTCATTCAGACACTGCTGCCCTCTCATCATGGGAGGTGTCAGGCTGCCCTATTGCCCTTTCCCTTGTTGGGGTCAGGAGGTGTGGAAGGGTTGGCTTTAATGGGGATATTGGGAATGGGGTTCCTCCTTGAGAGTGGCTGCAACTGATCATCGTGGTGCTGGCTTGGCTGCTCTGGGTGACTTTGCACCCAAGCTCTGGGGCTCAGTTTTAGACCAAGGTACTTCCAACTCAGTCTGTCCCATTTCCATTCCAGCCAATGGCTCTCTTCTGGCAATGAGTTTCAGTAACTGTCTAAATAGAGAGTTATCCCAGGGAAGGCAGAATGCATCTGCTTGTGAGGCAGTGTAGGGCAGTCCCGAGAGTGTCTGACCAAGGCCAGAGCCCCTGCCAGGCCTCTGGGCTTCCCTCTCGGCTCCGGCTGCCTTCTCAGGCCCCTTCTTGAATTCAGACCTTTTTGCTCAGTCTCTCCCCTAGGATGAATTACGGGAGGCAGGTGGGGGCCTCTCAGAGGGCCCAGCCGGCTGGTCAGCTGCCCAGAGGCAGTGAGGGTGGCATGTACAAGTTCTTTTGTTTGTGGAGAAAACCACCCTCTGGCCTCGGTGCCCCTCTGTGGCCTGGATGTTGGCTGCAGTCAGCCCCAGCAGCTGCCCGGAGCGTGGCCCTCATGCATCCTGGTGTCTTTCACCATGCGATGGACTGGGTCCACCCGAGCTCCCGTTCCCAGGCAGCGGCCCCAGCGGCCGGCAACACCAGCTAGTGAGCATTCTCATATGACTTCTTTTCTGTCAGCTGCACCACGGTTAACTATGGCCCAAGGAGTGGAGTAATTGAAGATGCCTTACAATTATGCACAGTAATTCATCCAGTCTGTTCTTAAGCTTAAAGAGACCCATGCTGAAAACATCCTCATTCGCCCCCACCTGCTTCTTTGGCAGGTTTTTTCCATCATTGCTTCTATTTTTCTCCAGTGATTATCTAAATATGAAATAATACATTATGACAGTTGGTGAAGGGCAGAATGCACAGGAGGGAAGGTGAAGATGCTGAGTCACGTGTGGCCGCCCAAGAGTCGTTTCTGCTTCTCCTGTGGATGAGAGAAACCAAAGACCTGCCTGGGCCCAGGACCTGGCTCTTGCCGCTTAGCCTTGGGCCAGTCAGTTTTCTCTCCTGTGACCTGAGGAAGCTGGGCTTAGCTAATCCTGAGGTCCCAGGTGTCTAGTGCCAAGATCTAGACTGTGGGAAAACGTAGGAAGCCAACTTTAGCCTGGGTGAAATGTGCCTGGCTTTGAGAAGGCAGCTGCACCCATCAGTCAGTCCAACACTCCAGGATCTGTGCAGAGGTGTCAGAGACAGGACAGAGATGGAACGGCGCCTGCCTTCAGAGAGCTTACACTCTAAGGTAACATGTACATACGAGAGTTTAGGTCAGCACCAGCAGCCCCCAGTGTAGGCCCTACGCCCCAGGGGGCACCCTGGCTGATCCACCTGGGACCCTTTGGGGTAATTAAAAGGGGGAGGCAGGTCAGAAAAGGCTGAGCCTCAGAAAGACTCTTAGTCCCTTTCCGTTTGAACTGGAATGGTTCTAGATTAGTCTAATTAGTCTAATCTAGTTAGCCTAATTCCACAGATGTGGAAATCGAGGCTCAAAAAGAACAAGGGACAATGGGCCACGGTCAATAGGTAGCAGGACTTGAGCTGTGAGGTCTTCTGATACCACCTTTCACTTTGCCATTGTCTGCCATTCCCCTCCTCACAAGAGGCGTCAATAAAGAAAAGTAGCGGAGCACAGACCCTGGAGTTAGGAGGACCTGAGTTCAAATCCTCAGACACTAGCTCTGTGATCCTGGGCAAGTCACTTAACCCCAATTGTCCTCACCAAAAAAAAAAAGAAAGAAAAGAAAAAGAAAATTAGATCTTTTTTTTTTTTTTTGAGGGGGGTGGGAATTCAGTCTCTGTGTTAGAAAGGTGCCATTTAGACCCAAAGGAGTGTAGCTTGCTGAAAGCTTCTCCCGGCATCTAAGAGAAATCTCTCTGAGGCCATGGAGGTGGTAGGCTTGAATTTTGCAGTGGCTTCCTTTTTCTAACCAGGAAGCCCTCGCCTTGGGTGGCAGCAGATGAAGAAGAAAATAAGTCATTTCTGACCTGCAATGTCTTGCCTGCGATAGTGCTCTTTTGTCTTGCGCTTTGGAGACAGGCTACCTTGAAGGGACAGCTTCCCAGAGGTGCCTGGGAGTGGGGGAGGGGTTGTCAGCCTCCAGATGGATTGAGCGTTTCTTCCTTTCCCTTGGGTTTTTCTGGTTCTGCATCTATGCTGATAAAATCAAATTCCGGTCTCTGACAGGACTGGCCTATTTCACTGGAAGCTGTAAATCTGCCAGGAAGTGAATCTGAATAAACTTTCTTGTTCTTGTTTTTAAATAAAACTCTCTGAATTTGGTGGGTTAACATCTTCCTTTTTCTTTCGTAATATGCTGGGTTTAGGACATTGGTTTCCATCCCAAGTACATCACAGATGAGCTGAGAAGGATTTTCACTGAAGAGACCGACTCAGAGACAGAAGATTTTGAAGGATTTACCCAGAGTGAGCTCAACAGTCACCCAGAGCTAATGGTAACTAAGCCATCCAGCACTTTCAGGATTTCTCAGTTATTTCCTGATGTTTTCCCCCCAGTGAAAATATTCTCTCTTTACAACTGGCTTTTAAATTCCTCCCCCTGTCCCTCAGATTTATTTTATCCGGTAACGTTCTGAAGGTAGAATGGTGCCTAGCAATGGGTGGCAGTGGGCTTTGGATTTGAAGGAGCCATATTCAAATCCCAGCTAAGCAGCTTGCTACCAGTGTGAACTCTCTTAACTCCCCTGGGCCTCAGTTTCCTCATCTGTAGAGTGTGGGGTTTCTATCAAACGCCCTCTGAGGTCCCTTCCAGATCTACACCTATGACGGTCAGTTCAGCCCAGTAGTCGTTTCTTTTCTGTTTTGTTGGAGTGTTTGCTCACAGAATCATAAGCCCAGAGCTGGCAAGGACCTTGGGGCCATTCCTACCATATGTGCAAGGTGCCAGGGACCTCAAAATAAAACATTTTCTGCCCTCAAGGAGCTTATGTGTTACCCCGTGCTTCCAGAGTGTCACCTTGCGGAATATGGGACTGTGGCCCCCCTTGGATGAGTGACTTTATCCATGTTTTTCTAACCCCTTTTGACCTATTTTTGTTTGTCTCTTATCCCAGCTTGGGTAAACAAGCCTCTTTGGTTCATTGCCATATGTATAAAGAGTTGTTGGACGGTTGGTGTGAAGTGGCTTGGTGTTTCCTTACCTGGACAGGCAGATGGGAACCACCTTCCCTGTCCAAGGAGAAATCCCCATGTGGGAAGGCTCCCAGTTGAACTCGACCTTTTGGTTCTGGTCTGAAGTGATACCCGTAACCACAAGTCCCATTTACAGGTAGCCTTTACGAAGGGGTTTCCTTTGGCCCATCACACCATCAGACCTCCCTCTCCATAACAAGACTCCCTTTCATACTCTCCACCCACCAGACCTCCCCTTGAACTTCTCCTGATGTTGAGACACCCACCCTTGGAAGTCTTCTGGTCCAGTGGTGGCCCAAAGAAGCTTTCCTACATGGAGATGAAATCTGCCTCCCTGGAATTTCCATCTTTAAATCCCTCTGAAACTTTAAAAATACATTTGACTTGAGGAGTGTGACAGAGTCTTAAAAACACTGAAGAGCTGGAGTTCCTGGGTTTGAATTTCTGCCTTAATCACACAAAGTCACCTAATCAATATAAGGTGGATTTATTTAAGTACAAGGCCCTAGGGCTATAAAGACTTAAGCCTCATCTTTCTCTGTTTGGACCTCTAACTTTTTTTTTTCCCAACCTTATACTGCCTAGTTATTTTATTTATTTTTTTAAATTAATTTATTTTGATTTATCAACAATCACTTCCATATGCTTTTGAGCTTAAAATTTTTCTCTCCCTCCCTCCCCACCACCCTCTCCAAGACGGCACACAATCTGATATAGGCTATATATTTACATTCTTATTAAACATATTTTTACATTAGTGATGTTGTAAGTAAGAATTAGAGCCAATAGGAGGAGCCACCAGAAAGAGGAAACAAAACACAACAGAAGAAAAAAAAATAGCAAATAGTATGCTTCTATCTGCATTTGAACTCCGTAGTTCTTTCTTTGGATGTGGATAGCATTTTCCATCACGAGGCCTTTGGAGATGTCTTAGATCCTTGTATTGCTGGGAAGGGTTAAGTTTATCAATATTAGTCATCGAACAACGTGACTGTTTTTGTGTACAACATTCTCCTGGTTCTGCTCACTTCACTCAGCATCAGACCATACGAGTCTTTCCAGGTTTTTCTGAAGTCAGCCTGCTCATCATTTCTTGTAGCACAATAGTATTCCATTACATTCATATACCACAACTTGTTCAGCCATTCCCCAGTTGATGGGCATCCCCTCAATTTCCAGTTCTTTGCCACCACAAAAACAGTTGCTATGAATATTTTTGTACAGTGGGTGCTTTTCACATTTGTATGATCTTTTTGGGATACAGACCTAGAGGTGCTATTACTGGGTCAAAAGGTATGCACATTTTGATAGCCCTTTGGGCATAATTCCAAATTGCTCTCCAGAATGGTTGATCAGTTCACAACTCTACCAACAATGTATTAGCGTTCCAGTTTTCCCACATCCTCTCCAACATTTATCATTTTCCTGTTTTGTCATGTTAGCCAATCTGATAGGTGTGATGTGGTACCTCAGAGTTGTTTTAATTTGCATTTGTCTAATCAATAGTGATTTAGAACATTTTTTCATATGACTATAGATGGCTTTAATTTCTTCATCTGAAAACTACCTATTCATATCCTTTGACCATTTATCAATTGGGGAATGGCTTGTGTTCTTATAAATTTGACTTAATTCTCTACATGTTTTAGAAATGAGGCCCTTATTGGAGAGACTGGTTGTAAAAATTCTTTCCCAGTTTTCTACCTCCCTTCTAATCTTGGTTGCATTGGCTTTGTTTGTGCCAAAACTTTTAAATTTAATGTAATCAGAGTTATCCATTTTGCTCTTTGTAATGTTCTCTATCTCCTGTTTGGTCATGAATTCTTCTGTTCTCCATAAATCTTGTAGACCAACTATTCCTTGCTCTCCCAGTTTGCTTACAGTATCAGCCTTTATATATAAATCATGAACCCATTTTGACTTTATTTTGGTATATGGTGTGAGATTTTGATCAGTGCCTAGTTTCTGCCATACTTTTTTCCAGTTTTCCCAGCAGTTTTTGTTAGAGTGGGTTCTTATCCCAGAAGCTGGGGTCTTTGGGTTTATCATGGACCTCTAACTTTTAATCAGAGGTGATAACCTCTGATTGTTAAAGTGAACTGTTCGGGCTCAGAAGGCCTTCTCTTACACAGGGATGAGCATTGTCAGTTCCTTCAAACATGATTTCCAAGACCTCTCATTATCCTGGCTGCCCTCCTGTGGTTGGCACCTTCTCTTTTCAAATTAGATTTGTAATTTGTAAAATTTGTAAAAAAACCGCAGTGCCTTGCGCTATAAAAATGCTTCTTCCTTCCCCCTCCTCCTCCCCCATCATCAATGAACATGCACTCTAGCTCAGGCCAGACCTGCAGCTACACAGTTAGCAGCCTTCCCTGCCCCCTTTCTGGTGCAGTCCACCCTCCCCCGATAAGACTTCAGCCTCATGAAGTTCTCTTCAGCCATTTTTTCTTTTCCAGCAATAAAATTTGCTGAAAACTCTTAATGATGATACCTGACATTTGCTCAGTGCTTTGTGTACATTAGGAGGCTTCTTGGTCTTTGGGAATGAGTTAGCATTTAGGTTATTCCTTCAATCTCACTAATTCCATCCACTGACCAATGCTAGGGTTTTCCTTCTGTTAATTATTTCCTGTATGTCTGGTGTAATAACTTGGTTTGTATGTATTTGTTCTGCACATTGTCTCCCTAGTTGGTTTGTAAGCTTCTCCAGGGTAGGGACTCGGCCTCTTCTTGTATTCCCAGTGCTTGGCACGTAGTAGGCACTTAATAAATGTTTAATGATAGATTATAGCAGGAATTTTTTTTTTACACCATTGAATCTTTCTAGAGGTGTGTTTGTTTTGTGTTGGTAAACAGTAGACCGGTTTTGTGTTCCTTACCTTTATTAGCTCACGGAGTCAGAAATGAGTGATGAAGATGCTGGAGACAGGCTTGTAGGTAGTGAAGAGGAGGAGGAGGAGGAGGAAGAAGAAGAGGAGGAAGAGGAGGCTAAAACGAAGACAGCCTCCAAAAGAAACAGCTTTGGTCTTCGGGTTGCCTTCCAGTTCCCCACAAAGAATAAAGCTGATATAAAAACCAGGTTTTCTGAGCCATCCTTTTCTAGCTTACATTTTGATGAGAGTGAAAAACCAAAGGCCTTGAGAAGAAAGAAAAATGGTAGACCAGGGAAGAAAGCCACGGAAGGGTCTACCTCCGAGTCTGAGGATGACTCCAGGGACGTGGGCCAGGCTGACTCGGACGCTCTGCTCAAAAGGGCCATGAACATTAAGGAAAACAAAGCCATGGTAAGAGACACCCCTCCCTGCACAGACTTGGTTTCCCTGGTGGTACTTTTGCCTTCATGGGTAGAGAAACCAAGCCTGCTGGGCTTTTCCCGGGTGGGCAAGGTCAAGTCCATTTTCATCATGGGGCCCTGGCAATGAATTACCTTGAGTACCCTAAGTTACAGAAGATCGAAGATTTTAGAGCCAAAAGCAACCTTAGAGGTCATCTGGTTCAGCACCCTCATTTTGCAGTGGAAAATGAGGCCATGAAAGAGGAGGCAATATGTCAAACTTGGAACCTTGACTCTTAACCTTCCAAATCTGCATTGATGGCGGGGAGCTATCTCACTAGGGATTCAGAAACCACTGGTTTGGTCACGCCATGCTCTCTCCCCAGTAAATAAATGAGTAAATATGTATGGGTCTATGTATGTATAGATACACATGCATATATGTATATGTGTGTGTATGTATATAGATATATGTATAATATATAACAGGTATACGATATAATTTATATATCTATACATGAGATGTGTGTATATATACATATACACACATACACACATACACATATATACATACACATATATACAAATGCGTGCATACATATATATGTATATGTGTGTACGTATATACATATGTCTATATCATGTATGTGTGTATAATACACCTCATATTCACGTATTATGTATACTGTATCATGTATATGATATGTATATGCATATAACTATATGTTTTGTACATGTGCATATATACAGATATGATAAAATACATACATATACACATATATAAACACTTAAGTAGCAAACAGCATTCAGACAAAAAGTCTGTAGTTTCTTTGGTGTGTTTACTCTCTGAAAGTTAGTCAAGCATGTCATTCCAGAAATTGGTTTGTGCAACATGAGGATCCTTTGTATTCCACTGACGTAGGAGAGGGTTAGCGTGCCACTTTCACTCGTGTGTAAATTTCAGGAATATGTCACTTTCATCCTGGGGATGAATACCTTTGGTATTGCGTTTGTCATTGGAATACTGTAAATAGATACATTGTCTTTGTTGGGGTTTGACACATGTGGCACCCTTTTCAGGTTATGTAAAGAAATAATTGCTAAAAAATCTGGGTGTTCTTAGATGTTTTGGGGGGCTGGGACATGGATCTGATCTTGAACAGAGCCCGCTTTGTGGGAAAGCAGACACAAGCAGTGACTGTTTTTCTTCTTTTCTGCCTTAGCTTGCTCAGCTGCTGGCAGAACTGCATTCTCTCCCAGAGCTATTCCCGGTACAGACACCGAGTCCAGCTTATGTAAGTGGAAATCTTGTTTTCTGTCCCCGGTTAACGGAATCAATTCCCAGCTTTTGAAGGGGTCTCAGAAGCAGTTTATTGGGAGCTCTTCTTTCCCTCCATTCCAGAAAAAGAAGCCAGTGAGGCGGGCTTTTTCAGAGGGACAGATAACTCGCCGTACCAACCCCACCCGCAGTGCCCGGCCTCCAGAGAAATTTGCTGTGGAAAACTTTACAGTGTCCACAAACTTTGAAGAAGACCTGTGTGCTTTCAGGAGACGGAAAAAGATGAGTGGGGTATGTTTCTTACTCCCGAGGTGCTTATCCCTGACATTGGTGGTTAGGCCATGAGCATAGTCTTTTATCTAAACTGAGCTGCTTGGAAAACGGAACGGACAGCTGAGAAGGAGGATGTGGAGTTTCCAAGACCTTGAGATCAACTCATTACTGGTGCACTTTGCATTAGCCAGAGGTCCAAGGCTAACGGTGCTTTGGAAATATAGGATTGAGTTGAGAGCTGAAAGGGACCTTAGATATCCTTTTTTTTTCCCAGCACTCTCATTTTATAGATCAGAAAACTGAGGCCCAGAGAAAGGCAATGTTTTGCTCAGGGTTACAAAGATTGTAAGCAGCAAAGTCAGGACTAAAGAAAATTAGCAAGCATTTCTATAGTGCTTTAAGATTTGCAAAGATCAGTACGTATATTACGTCATTTGATCACATAACCCATGAGGTAGGTACTGTTATCCCCATTTTGCAGGTGAGGTTAAGATTTGTCCAGTGTCACCCAGGTAGGAAATGTCGGAGGCTAGATTTGAGCTTGGCTCTTTATGACTCCACGCCCAGTGTTCTGTGTCATGTGGCTGCCTCAGGAAAAACGTCCTCTGGCTCCCAGTGCCCCATCCCTTTGGTTACTATGCCTGCTTCTGAGACCTGGGTGGACAGGTGGAAGGTAGAAGCGTTGCCGGTTTGTCTTCTAGCTCTGTCTGACTGTCTGTATATAGTGGATTACAACTGGCATAGGTTGTACTTTTCAAGCTCCTGCCTGCTTCTCTGTCAGAGAGGCCTAATGTGTCTGATTGTTTTCTAGGGTAAAGGCCGTGTGTATAGAAAACGGCGTCTATCGTCATTCCGGCGAGTGGATGAAATCACTGAAGATGACTTAGAAAATATCGCCATAACTGTTAGAGATAAAATCTATGATAAAGTTCTGGTAAGGACTTCGTTATCTGAAAATAATATTTAATATGAGATTCTTCCCCTACATTTGCCACACAGGGGAATTGGTATTTGGAATCCTCTTTTGCATGCTAACTTGCATCAGAGTCCAGAGAGTAGGTGTGAAACTGGGGGACAGATCATCCCTGACTCAAAATAAGGTGACTTTTTAGAGGAAGAGAAATGGGTCATGTATTCCTGTAGTCCTGACAAGTTTTCTGCTTTGGGAACTTGTGCTCTTGGCTTTTTTCAGTAAGAATGTATTAAACACCTGCTGTGTATCAGGCACTGTGCTTGGTGCTGAGGACACAAAAGAGAAATGCAAGATAGCTTCTGCCCTCAGGTGGCTTACCTGCCTGTTTGGTGGGAAAACATGTACACAGATAAAAGATGTATGCAGAGTTTTTAGTGGGACGCATGAACGATTTGTAAGAAGGTGGGGGGGGGGCCATCTGGGAGGTGGCATTTGAGCTAGGATTTAAAAGGGGCTAGAGATTCTATCAGGAAAAGCATCCATGCAGGACAGTAGCAATGAGCTCAGTGTGCTTGGGATGATAGATTTAGAAAGGGAAGGTACCTTGGCCACCGAGTTCACGCCTCCCTTTATTTTGCAGGTGATTAAACAGGGGCCCATAGAGGTGAATTGTCTTGTCTTAGTTAAGTACCAGAGGCAGATTTTGAATCCAGTCACCTGAATTTAGGGCCAGTGCCCTTTCCAAACTGCTTTCCTTGTCAGCTCACTTCATCTGCAAACGTGAAAGATGATTTCAGTCAATCATTAGACATTTATTAAGTACCTTATATGTGCCAGGTACTTTACCAAGTTCTGGGGATACAAGAAGAGGCGAAAGACAGTCTGTCTGCCTGGTTTTATTTGAGGGGGAAGAATGAGCTCAGTTGTGTATGAGAGGCACTTAGTGGGTGCTGGACAGGTTCAGGTGCTGGGTTCTTGATAAGAGGCTGGGGTGGCATAATAGATGTCATTGTATAAGCTATTCTGTCATGTAGAGGAATTGTCAAAATTTATCCCTTTATTGCCGTCTTCCACACTTTAGGGTAATACGTGCCATCAGTGCCGACAGAAGACTATTGATACTAAGACAGTGTGTCGGAACCTGGACTGTGGGGGAGTGAGAGGGCAGTTCTGCGGCCCATGCCTCCGTAATCGTTATGGGGAAGATGTAAGATCAGCTCTCTTGGACCCGGTAGGAAGTCACTTTTTTTAATATAAATTTCTTTGTTTTTAGTTTTCAACATTTACTTCCACAAGATTGAGTTCCAAATTTTCACCCCATCTCGCCCCTCCCGCCACCCCAAGATGGCATGCATTCTCAATACCCCTTCTCCTAGTCTGTCCTCTCTTCTATCTCTCCCCCCCTTGTCTTATCCCCTTCCCCTTCTATTTTCCTTGTAGGGCAGGATAGACTTCTGTACCCCATTTCCTGTATTTCTTATTTCCCAGTTGCATGTGAAAACATTTTTTTTTGAACATGTGTTTTTAAAACTTTGGGTTCCAAATTTTCTCCCTTCCTCCCTCCTCACCCACCCTCACTGAAAAGGCAAGCAACTCAACATAGGTTACACATGTGCAGTTATGCAAAACACTTCCATAGTAGACATGTTGTGAAAAACTAACTCTATTTCCCTTAATCCTATCCTGCCCCCCATTTATTCTATTCTTTCTTTTGACCCTGTCCCTCCTCAGAAGTATTTGCTTCTGATTACCCCTTTCCCAATCTGCCCTCCTCTCTATCATCCCCCTGCTCTCTTGTCCCCTTCTCCCCCTATTTTCCTGTAGGGTAAGACAGATTTCCATACCCAATTGAATGTTTATGTTATTCCCTCCTTAAGCCAAATCCTATGAGAATAAGATTCACTCATTCCCTCTCACCTTCCCCTGTTTCCCCTCCACTGTAAGAGCTTTTCTTTTCTGTTTTTTTTTTGTGAGATAATTTACCCCATTCTACCTCTCCTTTTCTTCTTCTTCTCCTAGTATAATCCTCTCTCATCCCTTAATTTTATTCTCCAGATACGACCCCTTAATCTTCAGTCACCCTGTGCCTGCCCTTTCTGTCTCTCTCTCTCTAATACATACATATAATTTTTCCTCCAACTACCCTAATACTGACAAGGTCTCATGAATTATAAATATCTTTCCATGCAGAAATGTAAATAGTTCAATCTTAATAAGTCTCTTATGATTTCTCTTTCCTGTTTACCTCTTCATGTTCCACTTGAGTCTGTATTTGAAAGTCAAATTTTCTATTCAGCTCTGGTCTTTTCATCAAGAATGTTTGAAAGTCCTCTATTTCACTGAATGACCATTTTTTCCCTGAAGGATTATACTCAGTTTTGCTGGGTAGGTGATTCTTGGTTGTAATCCTATCTCCTTTGCCCTCTGGAATATTATATTCCATGCCCTGCGGTCCTTTAATGTAGAAGCTGCTAAATCTTGTGTTATCCTGATTGTGTTTCCACAGTACTTGAATTGTTTCTTCTGGCAGCTTGTAATATTTTCTCCTTGACCTGGGAACTCTGGAATTTGGCTACAATATTCCTAGGAGTTTTCCTTTGGGGATCTCTTTCAGGAGGAGATCTGTGGATTCTTTCAATTTCTATTTTGCCCTCTGGTTCTACTATATCAGGGCAGTTTTCCTTGATAATTTCTTGAAAGATGATGTCTAGGCTCTTTTTTTGATCATGGCTTTCAGATAGTCCAATAATTTTTAAATTCTCTCTCCTGGATCTATTTTCCAGGTCAGTTGTTTTTCCAATGAGATATTTCACATTGTTTCTAATTTTTCATTCTTTTGGATTTGTTTTACAGTGTCTTGATTTCTCATAAAGTCACTATCTTCCAATTGCTCTATTCTAATTTTTAAGGAAGTATTTTCTTCAGTAATCTTTTGGACTTCCTTTTCCATTTGGCCAATTTTTCTTTTTAGGGCATTCTTCTCCTCATTGGCTTTTTGGACCTCTTTTGCCATTTGGGTTAGGGTATTTTTTAAGATGTTATTTTCTTCAGCATTTTTTTGGGTCTCGTTTAGCAAGCTGTTGACTTGTTTTTCATGATTTTCTTGCATCACTCTCAGTTTTTCCTGTACCTCTGTTACTTGCTTCTCAAAATCCCTTTTGAGCTCTTCCAAGGCCTGGGACTGATTCATATTTTCCTTGGAGGCTTTGGATGTAGGAGCTTTGACTTTGTTGTCTTCTTCTGGTTGTAAGTTTTGATCTTCTTTGTCACCAAAGTAAAATTCTATGGTCTGACTCTTTCTGTGCTGCTTGCTCATGATCCCGGCCAATTACTTGAGTTTTAAACTCTTTGTTAAGGTAAGAGTCTGCTTCCAATGTGGAGAATGTACTGTCCCAAGCTGTTTTCAGAGATACTTGTAGGGACCTGTAAATTTTCAGTTCTTGCAAGGTGGTATGATAAGGGACAAGGTGTTTACTCCTTTTCTGGCCTGTGCTCTAGTCTGTTAGTGACCACAAGTACTGCTTTCTGTCCTGGAACTGTGAGGAGGGTTTCCTCTCTACAGCCACTACGAGCTCTACCACACCAGTACTCCTCCTTACCCCAGGACCACCACCCAGAACTGTGACCCAGATCCAAGCACGGGCAAAGCAAGAGATTCCTGCATCAGCACTGGCAAAGAGATTCTTGCAGTCTCCCTCTGATCAGCCACTCGATTTCCCCCTCAGTCTGTGGACTGGAAGCTCAGGACGCAGCCACTGCCCAGGGACCCACGCTCAGTGCTCTGCACTCTGGGACTGGCTCTGAGACCTAGCTTCTCTCTCACCGCTGAAACAGACTTTTCCCACTGACCTTCTAAGTTGTCTTTGGCTTTCCTGGGTTGAGAAGTCTGGCATCTGCCATAGCTGCGTGTGATTTGTTCCTTTGAGGCCTGCTCCAGGTTCACTGTGGACTGTGCACCCACGCCACACTGCGCTCCTCTCCCAGCCTTACGCGACATACTTGGGCTGGAAATTTGCTTCACTCTGTGTTTTTGTGGGTTCTGCCGCTTCAGAATTATTTTAGAGCTGTTTTTTGTAGGTATTTGGAGGGGTTTGGGGGAGAGCTCAAGCAAGTCACTGCTTTCACTCCGCCATCTTGGCTCTGCCTCCTTTGTTGAGTTTAAAGGGCTTTAAAAATATAGTGAACTGTTAGAAGGAAATAATCTCTTGAAAAGCTGTGGGCAGAGCTCCCAACCAGCCGTTCATTCATCTTGTCAGATTTAGGTTTGATGTCAGGAAGCAAGCTGTGGCACATCCCAGAATGGAAGACCAGAGTAAGGAGCGGAGCTTGCCCAAGAAGTGAATGAGAGGGGGAAGGAGGCGGGCTCCTCCTCAGCTTATAGTGAGAGAGAAGTTAGGGGGAGTCAGAGCTCTCCACTGGTCTCCTTGGGGTGTCAGGAGAGAAAGCAGGGAAGGCTCCCAGCCTGATGGGTGAATGGCCCCTGTCCTTGGGAGGACAGGGACCGGGAGGAGGTTAGGGGAGGCTTTGTGACAGCAGCAGAAGAGGCTGCCCACACACAAGAGGCCTTGAATGAGAAGTTGGATGGCATTCCAGTAACAGGAATGATAATATCTGTGATTATTAATAATATTTTATTATTTGATATTCATCAATAGTGGTAGCTGACAGACACTGAGTAGCACAGTGGATAGAGCATTGGACCTGGAGTTAGAAAGACCTACGTTTGAATCTGGCCCCAGACACTTAGTAGATATGTGACCTTAGGCAAGTCACTAAACCGCTGTCTGCCTCAGTCTCCTCATCTGCAAAATGGAAACGATGATAGCATGTTCTTCTCAAGATTGTAATGTTAATAATCAGCATTTATGCAGCTCTTTAAGGCTTGCAAAGTGTTTTCTGAATATTTTCTCATTTGAGCTTCACAGCCATCCTGGGAGGTGGGTGCTGTTATCGTCCCTAGGAAACTGAGACCCACAGATGAGAAGCTGTGTGCCCAGGGTCTCTCAGGTGGGAAGTGGCAGGTTCAGGATTGGCACCCAGATTGGCTGTTCTGGGAGTCGCTGACCTGTTAGTAACTGTGGGCTTTAGCGCTCTTGCCCTGCGTCCTGTGTCGCCCCATGGATGTGGTGGGAGAGCCGTGCTCCTCTAGGCGTCCTTGCGTTCCGGCCCTCGCTGGCGTCAGTGGGCTGGCCTGGCTCTAGACCCCACCTCCACGCTGCAGGACCCTGGGCATGATAATGCCCATGGAATCCAGCTCACCCCTGGAAGATGGCCACATGGAACCCAAAAGTCAGTGATTACCCCTCTCTTTCTCCCAGGACTGGGTGTGCCCTCCCTGTCGTGGGATTTGCAATTGCAGTTACTGTCGGAGGCGTGACGGCCGCTGCGCTACTGGGATCCTCATCCACCTGGCCAAATTTTATGGCTACAACAATGTGAAAGAATACTTGGAAAGGTGAGGCCTGGCCAGGTTAAAAGCTGAGAAAGAAATCATGGGAAAGGGTAGGAAACCAGAGGAGTTAACTCAACAGAAAATGTGTGTGGGAGGTAGCAAGGAAGGGGAGGGTTGTGCTTTCTTGTCCTCTAGGGAATATACAGTGTGTCCCCAAAGTCTTAGTGCATTTGTAAGGTTGAATGCCCTAAGACTTTAGGGACACTTTCTGTATTACTCTGAGGAACTGTGCATGTAGCAGAGGGAGGTAAAATGTTGGGGGTAACTTTTATTTATAGTATAGATATGGTATAGATTTATAGTAAACAGCTGCATCTTTTTCCCATCTCTGTTTCTCAGCATACAGAAACAGCTGGTTGAAGACCATTAAGATGCAGGAGAAAGCAGCTGGCAAGACCCCCCCCCCCATTGGTGTTCCCAATGTGACCCATTGTTGGGATGGTTTATTTGTACAGGAAGCAGCTGTGGGGGGGAATGAAGCAGTTTCACGTCTTCCTGTGTGCGATTTGTGACGGTTTATTCCACGTTCATAAAAAAGTTTCTCAGGAAAGCAGTCATCTTAGTGAAGGGGTCTGTGTATTGTAGACACCCTATGATAGGCACCCTAGTACATTGAAGTCTTTAAAAAAAGCTTCTAATTGAAAAGCACAATGAGAATAATGGTGTAGTTATCTTTCAGGTTAAGTTTACAAGGAGGCGGCTTGGTGAGCTGCTCCCGCCCTGGGAAGGAAATGCTCAGGTATACATCGTGCCCCAAATAAAGCCCTGATCAGAATGACTGCCTGAGGCCTCAGGTTAGCCAAGCGTGTTTCCCCACAGACTCAGAGCATGGGGGTGTGACAGAGCTCCCAGCCTTAGTCTAAGATGCATTCGAGATGTAGAATCTGGGCTTTTGTTTTCTTTACCCTTTGTTACAAAGTGCAATTACTTGTAAGAACTTGAAAGCATAGAGTTTTATTTTCATCAGAGATCGAGTCCTAGTTTGCTTGTAGAAAAACCCGCCTGGCCGTTGCCCTGTTCCTGTAGGAAGGGAGCCGTAGTTAGGGTTCCCCATGTGAGAATTTTTACTTGGTGCTTAGTATCCGTAAGAGCAGAAATCCCACCGGGGGGATGGGATGCTTTCAGCCTTGTTTTTTTATTGATTTCGTTGGTGAATGTGTTAAGGGGGCACTGTACTTAATTTTTGTTGCTGGGGTTGGAGATGCTTTGTTTTAGCCATAACAGAGGTATGCTCAGAGGGGAGCTAGAAGCGGGGAGAGTGTGGCCTTTGGCTTGGGGGGTCCCACTTGTGTTTACTTGTATGTCTTTTCGTTTTCCTGGGGTTGGAGAAACGATACAGCCTTGGTAGTTTCTGTGTAAGATGTAAAAGTGAAGAAGCTTGAATATCATCCTCGGGGGAACAACTTCCTGAAAAGCCGAAGGATGCCAGATTCCTGTGCTGAGGAGAAGGCCCCCAGGTCTCACCTTTCACACAGACAACAGCAGGGCCACCCCAGCCAGCACCCACTTGGCCGTTTTCTCTTTGCTCTTTAGCCGGAAGGTCCACACGTAGGTGGGGCCCCTGGTTTGGGTTCTGTACACGGGGCACTCGTAGGTCTGCTTTGTTTCCTGTCTGTCCGCCGGAATGGCTTTGACAAAGATGACCGGCATCAGAGATGTCAACTCCTTGAGGCGGGCTTCCACAATGGTTCCAGCCTGGACATCCCATCGGGCGCCTAGGACAGAGAGCCGCACATGAGTCACTGCTGTATGGAACGCTTGGGTTGGGTGGCTAGTTTTCTCCAGCTACAGATCACACAGTTTGATGCAATAAAAGTTACAATTATCATCATTTCTTTTTTTAGCCCATTGATTTCTTTGAGGGAGAGGTGGGGAGGATACCCTTCATAAAATGGTAAGTGACTGAAATTAAGAGCAAAGGAGGGAAGGGTCTGCCCTCCTCTTTCGGCCTTGGTTTCCTCATCTGTAAAGAGGAGGAATTAGCTTAAATGGGGCCATGAGGTGTCTTTTAGTTCTGACAGTTTGCGTTTTCAGTGAAAGAGATGATAATCACCAGCAAGCTTGGGAGATAGAAGAAGCTCCCATTGGCTCTGAGAAGATTGAAACTCTAGAGGTGAGAACTCAAATTTCTGGGGTGCTTACGGGGTTACAGAGAACTCTCTTTGGTAGGAGGGCAAGTGAAAATACCCCATGAGAGCCAGGATTTGAACCAGGAGCTCCTCACTCCAAATCTTGCATTCCTGCTAGACACAGGGGAGTTGACGAGGCTAACATGAGGTGAGTTCTAGGCTTGCCTCGACATCTCCTGCATCTAGGGAAGGCTCAGAAAGCTGACTTTGAATGAGTGTTTTAAGCAGCCTAGGGAAGCCAGAGAGTGTTAGCTTCAGATCCTTGAAGAAGAGATGGACCCAGCCTCGTTTTATGCAGGAGAAACTGAGGAGGCCACGATACAGTCTCCTGACTTCAAACCCAGAGTTTTCTTTAGTGTTCACCACCCAGTCTCCTGCTTTACAGGTGGGGAAACTGAGGCATGAAGTGGTGCTCCCCAGAAATCCTGGACTCGGGGCCTGTTACCGAACTCTGTTGGGCCAGGATTCCATTCTGCTGCTCCTCAGATCTGCTACCATCTTTGGCCACGTTGCTGTGAATAAGCATGTCCACCAGGGGGTGGCCTTGGGCAGGAGAATCAGCTGGGAACCCAGAGAAAGCTGTCAGCACCTGAGCACTGGAGCACCCACAGAGGAGAGATGTCTGATGGCCACAGCATAAACTGCGCAGGAGTTTGGGGTGCAGAGCCCCAAGCTCTCCATTGTGTTACCTGCACAAGGATCGGGCTGCAGTGCATCTCCAAAGGATAGGGCCTGGGGCTTGGAGTGAGGCCTGCATTAAAATCCCTCCCCAGATAACCTTGTGGCCCTCAGTTTCCTCATCTGTAAAATGGGGGGGGTGGTTAGACTTAATGGCCTCCAAGGCTAAATTTATAATCCTGTGATTCCTTCTGGCTCAGTGGCAGATTCTCAGGGACTTTCCCAGAACAATGACTGTAAAGGCAGAAACTACATAGGATTAGAAAGGAAACCTTATGTTGGACATTGGTTAACATTTGATCAAAGGAGTTCATGGCCTCAGGTTAAGAAGCTTTTCTCTAGGTCAGTGATAAAAGGAAGCACAATGCTGTCATTCTGCAGTTGTATTCTAGAAAATCATTTTGGGTCTCGTCCTGTGATTTCACTGTTTCAGGAAACTCCTTCCCTTCCACAGGCACACAGCTGGTGGGGTTTGAGGCTGGACAACTAGTATGTGTCACAGCCGGCATTTGAACCCAGGTCTTCCTGATTCAAAGGGACACATGGAATAATTTGCACCAGTCCTTGGTTGTAGACCTTAGGAGGGCTTCTGGCTAGGTGTGCAGCATTGCTGGTGGGCCAGGGTCCAAGTGCAGTGTGCTCTGGGGGCTGTGTGTTATAGCAGAATGATTCCTTGACTCAGATTTGTGTTCAAATCCAGGCTTTGCCACTCAGCTACCTTGGAGACTCTTGAGCAAGTCACTTCCTTTCTATGGGCTTCAGTTTCCCCATCTGTAAAATGGGACCTAGCACCTGCTGTATAATCCTAGTGAGGCTCTTACCTTCTATGAAGAGCCCATGAATGTATGCTCCTTCCCTGGGGGGGTGGCCGTAATCCTCTTTGGTTTTCTTGGTCACATCAACGGTCAGGCACATTTTGTCCAGAGGCCACTCATTCTTCCGAGCCGTGCTCTGCATGACAGCTTCCGGAGGGGAGAACAAAGTGGATAAGAAAACTGTCTATAGGGAGCCGAGTTGGCCTTTGATCACAAGTGGGCACGTTGGGGAATGTCCCAGGCTTGGCTCCTTCCACTAATGAAGCCCTGTCTGCCTGCTGTCATTTTCTGGGGACCTTGGGAGGGAAGAGCTGAAAAGCCCGCTCCCTGCTGGTGTGAATATTGTGCAGCCGGGTGGGAGAGCCCTGCCCCTACCTGTCAGGAAGGACTGTGGGTTAAAGAACCCGGACAGCCATACGACAGCTGGCATGACCAAGTCCTGGGTCCAGGTGTCGAGCTGTCGGCACCTCATGAGGAGGTCGCTGAACCTGGGGGAAGATAAGGAGAAAATCCAATGGATTCTAACAGGTCCCAATTGGTCCTGGAGAGGTTTTGCAAACTCACAGGTGAATCTGGAGAGCAGGTGGAATGGAGCCAACCTCCACCTCCACCTCCTGCAGATTAATCTGGAGTTTAAGGTTAATTTGTTGGGAATTGGAGGTTTCCTCCTGAGACCACGCCCATAATTCCAAAAACCTGAGGGTTGTATAAATTGGCTTCTTCAGCCTTCTGCCTGGGAGATAAAAAGCAGCTTGGACTCTGGTTATCAGCCTGTCCTTCCAGAGAACAGCCATTTTCTCAGAGAATCACAATTCTAGAAGTGGGTGTGGGTGGTGAGGTTTTAGTTAAATAAAAAGACAAATACACAGTGAATTAGGGTGAGAGAGGCTAATGGCAAATAAGACCGCTGCTACTGGTCACAGTAGGAAAGAGCGGTCACTCTCAGGGGAATTGTGCTTCTAGTTACACTTCTGTTAGCAGAGTTATCTTCTTTAAGTATGTCCGGACTAATATACTGGGGGGTGTAAGTGGTGCGTTGGCTCCCAGGTGGGGCTGTAGTGTCCCTCCAAGATTTCCAAGGAGGCTCATTTTCCCTTTTAGTATAAAAATTGTTTAACTGGTAACTTTGGTCAGAGTTCTCTGTCGAGGTTGTTAGCCTGTCTACGGCCCATCTCCAGTGCCTGCTGTCTGTGGGACCTTGGGCAGGTCAACCTGCAACCTCAGTTTCCCTATCCACAAGGTGAGGAGGACTGCCGCTGATCCTGGAAACATTCTCTCTGTGGTTCCAGGAACTGACCCGTTTCTGCATCTGTTTAAAAACATCTGACAAAGCAGAGGTGTCCCCAAAGTCTTGGTGCAGTTTAATGCTTGAATAGCTTAAAGATAACTATCATAGAAATGCTTAAAAGCAGCACTGAGACTTTTGGGACACCCTCTGTCATGCCTGGCTCCTTGTAGGGCAGCCTCAGTGGGCAGCAGTAGGAATGAGGAGCAGTGGGGTTGTCTGTGTGAGGTGCTGAGCACAGCATCACTCAGCAGATCCCTTTCCTTCCCGCATTTCCAGTTTTAACCCTGGGTGGTAGGTGTTACAAATGCTGCTCTCCCCATTTCACATTGGAGCAAACTGAGGCTCAAAGGTTGTCACGCAACGGGCAAGCGTCGGAGGTAGGTTTCAAACAACAGTTATGAAGCACCTACTGTGCTCAGGATGCGACATGGAAACCTGCATGATCGTTTCAGGGTGGCGGGAGCCCTTCTGGACGTGCGCATTATCGAGCAGTAGTGATAGGTAGCATCTGTATAGGGCTTTGAGGTTTGCGAAGCATTCCAGTTGTGGGCTGTCCAGGCCTCCTGGAGGGGCCTCACTCAC